CTAACATTTACACACTTGAATACTTTCTTCCCAAAGCAACTACAAATAGACAACAAAACTACAAATTTAAAACATTTGGGAAGAAAAGTGTTGCATGAACTAACAAAAACCTCCTATACAAACAGTATATATTTTCAAAAGAATTTCTTATTTCTAGCTCTAGCATACAAGAATATAACTTGTTTGGGTTCAGAATAAAAATGTCGTGTACATATTTTAGTTCTTTTTTTTTTTTTTTGATACGGAGTGTCGCTCTGTCGCCCAGGCTGGAGTGCAGTGGCACGATCTCGGCTCACTGCAAGCTCCGCTTCCCGGGTTCACGCCATTCTCCCACCTCAGCCTCCGGAGTAGCTGGGACTACAGGCGCCCGCCACCACACCCGGCTAATTTCTTTTTTTTTTTTTTTTTTGTATTTTTAGTAGAGACGGGGTTTCACCGTGTTTGCCAGGATGGTCTCCATCTCCTGACTTCGTGATCCGCACGCCTCGGCCTCCCAAAGTGCTGGGATTACAGGCTTGAGCCACCATGCCCGGCCATATTTTAGTTCTTATGCACTCCTATGGAAAAAAACACCCCTTATCTAAAACTGCATCCTCTCATCCTGCATTATTTTTCTTCATAGCATGAATTGATAACTAACATTATAGTATAAGCTTAGTTCTTTATTATGTTTCTCCCTCTAGAGCAAGCAGGGACTTTTTGCTCACTAATGTGTTCCAATAACAGAATAGTGCCTGGCATACAGTAAATAGTCCATACAAATTTATTGTGGAATAAATGCATTAGCAATAACCAGTTTATAAAAATAATGTTAAATAAAAATAATTTTCTGTTAACTTAGAAACTTAAAATTTGACCAATCTAAAAAATGTGAAATTTTTTTCTAGTTTAGGATTTATGTAAATAAAATCTTGAAAGTTCTAAAAGATGATGAATTTAGCACGTTCAAAATGTAAATAAATCTTTTTTAAAAAAAGAAACACAGGTCCTACAAGGGACTTTGCTACAGTTCAGTATGAGTTTGTGATGTGAGGGGATGCTATTTTAAATTAATTAAAGTTCTGGGTTTAGATTCAGATTTTCTAAGTTCCTATTATTTATTATTTATTAAAGTTTTAGTTTCAGCATGTGGCACAAAATTAGATTGCCAAACAAAATAAACAATATCATCCCAGATAGTTTTAAGTGTCTGCTCTGCTATAATCACTGTTAAAATACTTAAACTATTTTTGAGACTACATAATTTGCAGTGCCGATCTGCACCTTCTCTAGTTATATTAATGTCAATCTCTAATTATATTAATACAACTAGATACAATTAATCTCTAGTTATATTAATGACAATTCACCGTTTTGTCCTCTGTAATCTTTACTTATTGTATAAAATTATTTTATTGTATACAATTATTGCATAAACTTATATAAAATTGCAGGCCTATTACTTATTTCTTACAATTTTTACTCAGAAATATACTCGTTATTTTAAAAGTACAGAAACTCAGATATAAATTATTGATTTGCTAGAAATTTTTGTGAGTTAAGGAAGAAGTCGGGAACAATTAAGGGAATAACCGACCGTCAAATAACTGCAGAGAATTTGACAAAGAAGGAAAAAATCAACGGGAACAAATTACTCCGAGGCTCGGCCTGGGAAAGGACCATACAATTGTCGGAGCCCCAGATGTCACCCCCTCTCCCCAGGCACCAACGGGGCTGGAAGGGTCCGGCCGCGAACCGAATCAGCACCTAGAGCAAAATAACAGCTCTGTGGATTTCCTAAGGAGAATATCCTACATCCAAGGCAGAGGCCTTAGGGCCCGGAGAGTGGCGCAAGAATCCGGCACAGGGGCGCGTCACTCCACCCCCAGTTTCCCGCTTCCTACCACCGCTGTGAAACCGGCGGCTCAGACAGGTGGCTACGTCCCCTCAAAGCTCGCTCAGGGGGCGCCACACACCAGAACACAAGACACAGGAACCGAACACCAATCAGCCGACTCTAGGGGCGGGCCGGACGCACAGTCAGTCCCACCCCGCGGGGAGCGGGGCCCACCCTGCGCCCGAGCGCGCCTCAAGCCTCACCGCTTTCTGACTGTAAACGCGGCTGAGGCTCCTGGCTCGAGCCTGCGGCCTGAAGTCGGCTGGTGACCAACAACTCGCCGCACCCGTCCGCTGCCTGCCCGGCAGATGGCTAAAACTCGACCGCTGCCCGAACGGCTGGGCTGGGTCCCCACTTCCCCGCGGGCGTCGGGCCCCGGTTCCCACCTTCCCCGCGGGCGTCCGGGCCCCAGACGTCACCTCCCTGCGGACAGCGCCGATTCATCAGCCCCTGGGAGGACCCCCCAGCCTGGCTAAGCCGAGCTCCAAGCAATGGATCGTCCGAGCCCCCAACCTCTCCCTTCCTGCCTTTTTTTCTCCAAAAGTTTGTAACTGGTTTTGAATCTATCTCTTGCAGGTTACTGTGTCTGTTCTCGTTAAATACAGCTCCTAATCCTGGGTTCTAAGGGTCTACTAAGTGGTACCCTTTCCCTAAGGGTACAACAACTACACAAACACACCCCAACCTGCCTTTCTCATAAAAGTTAGCCAGGCCTCAGCTCTGGGACTTCCAGTCTCCTCGTATCTAAAAAGTATTTTACCTATATTATTTATAAAATACCACAATGGCACTCATGAGGTCGGTATTACTGAGGAAGCTGATTCAGAAATAAAGTTAAATTTCAGAAATAAATGTTCTAAAACACAATGATCTTTAAATATGTTTAGTCAACATGAATTTATAAAAACAGGGCAATAATGTGTTCTTCGACTTTAAACATGAACAAACTAGAAGTTATCCTTTTAAGTTTCTTTAGAATTGTCCTCTGAAGATTTGGCAGGGAATGTTTTGTAGATGATAAAATAGCAACGAATCAATGATGCTTTTCTTGCAGAGACATTTATCCTTCCTTTGGAAACCCCCACCTGTGACATCTAGGGCCAACCTACTGCTGTCTGACTGCCCTATTCCTGTTCTCTTTTTTCCTTGCAGCTCTACTGTTAATTAGCTGTATGACTTTGGAAAAGACCCAACCTTTAAGTCTTAATTCTTCATCTTCAATGATACTAATAAGCTCTAACTCCTAGATACTGCTGCAAGGGTTAAATAAAATAATATTTGCAATAGTCCTACCACACAGTAAATGCTCATGAATATTAATTTCTTTCACCTTCGCTGAGATGTAAAATTATTCCAGTAGTTGGATAGGCCAGTTTTTTGGATACTGATAAAATATCAAGTCTTTGTCTCTTGGAGAAAATAACATTTTGATTGCATAAACTATTCTTAATAGAAAGGTTGAATTATCATTCCTCTCAAAAATACTGGAGAGGAAAGTTACTTTCCATAGGCTGCATAGAGGAAAATAACAAAACCGTGCATTTGCTATAGTGAACCCCCCAGTGTGTTGAAATTCATACATTGAATTCTAACCCCCGATGTGATGGTATTTGGAGGTGGGACTTTTGTGAGGTAATTAACTCACAAGGGTAGAGCCTTCATGAGTAGGATTAGTGCCCTTTTAAGAGGCCAGAGAGTTAGCTCGCTCTTTTTCTGCCATGTGAGGATACAGGAGGACGGTATCTGCAAGCCAGGAAGGAGGCCCTCACCAAATACAGGATCTGCCTGCACCGTGATTTCGGACTTCTCAGGCACCAAAATTGTGAAAAATGTTTGTTATTTAAGCCACCCAGCCTATGGTAATTTGTTATAGCAGCTTGAACTAAGATAGGGTTTGAGTGATAGAATTGTAGAATTCAGTAACAAGCAGGTACAGGGGGAGTCTTACTGTCAAAGCACACAGTAGCAAATGGCCACCATTTCTAAACAAAAACATTCATTCATTCATTCACTCATTTATTCAAGAATGCATGGGGAATCTATAGAGCCTTACCTTTCTCTTAAAATAATGTAGTAAAAATGTCAAAGCTTCAGTTTTTAAAAGGAAGACTCAGGACACTGATAAAGTTACTAAAAATCTCATTTTGTGGGGAGGGATTGCCATGGTTTTTAGTAATGTTGCCATGTTTCTCAAGAAAACATTTTAATCCTAAAGATTTAATTTTACAACCAGTGCAGCAACGTTATAAGCAATCCTCCAAATTGAATAACATAACTAACATTTGAAATATAGTCTTCCCAATCAACTTCTGGCATGACTGCATAAAGAGCTCTGCTATCTGACTTCTCAGTGAAACTGGTGAAAATTCTCGAAAAATGACTCAGACCCTCTGGAAATGATCCTAAGGGCAAATAGCAAAAGAAGAAACATCTCTTCAAGAAACAGTTATAAAAATTTGGTAAGAAAGGCAAGAGTCTGTGGTATTTTATCCAAGACTCCCAAGTCCCAGCTTAGCGAGACAGTCTCCATTCTAGACAGCTGCAGCCAAGAATACAGAGCGCTCTCTGCACCCAGCTTCCACTAGAAGGCGCACTTTCTTTCTTTCATTGTGGTAAAACCTGAATAATATTTATAATTTTGAACCATATATAAGTGTATAATTCAGGGATATTAAATACACTCACAATGTTGGATAACCACCACTCTTATCCATACCCAAAACTTTTTCATTATCCCTACTAAGAAATTTGTGCCCATTCAGGGAGGGGAACATCACACACTGGGGCCTGTTGGGGGGTGGGGGGCTGGGGGAGGGATAGCGTTGGGAGAAATACCTAATGTAAATGACGAGTTGATGGGTGCAGCAAACCAACATGGCACATGTATATCTATGGAACAAACCTGCACGTTGTGCGCCTGTACCCCAGAACTTAAAGTATAATTTTAAAAAAAAGAAAGAAAAAAAGAAATTTCTGCCCATTAAACAGGAACTCCTCCTTTTCCCCTTCCCCTAATTTCTGGTAACCTCTATTATACTTTCTAATTCGGAGTTTACCTATCCTAAGTACTTCATATAAGTGGAATCATACAATATTTGTTCTTCTGTTTCTGGATTATTCACTTAGCACAGTGTTTTCAAGGTTCATCCACGTTGTAACATGGATCAGATTTTTACCCCTTTTTAAGGCTCGATAATATTCCATTGTATGTATATACCACATTTTGTTTATCCATTTGTAATCCTGGGCTAATGGACATCTGAGTTGTTCCCACATTTCCACCTTTTGGCTCTTGTGAATAATACTGCTATGAAGATTCCTGTGTAAATATCTCTGTTTAAGTGCCCGCTTTCAATTCCTTTGGATATGTACCTAGGAGTGGAATTGCTGGGACATATGGTAATGCTGTTACAGCCAATGCCATGAGTTCTAGCTGATAAATCCAATATAACCAAAATTTTCTTTACTTTGTAACATCCACATCTTTTACACTCTGATTAGTCAGTAGGAATTGATATTGAAAAATTAGTCTCAGCCTGGGCAACACAGTGAGACTTCGTCCCTACCAAAATTTTAAAAACTAACCAGGCGTGATGGTGTGTGCCTATAGTCCTGGCTGCTTGGCAGGCTGAGGCAGGAGAATGGCTTGAACCAAGGAATTCCAGGCTGCAGTAAGCTGTGATCCCACCACTGCACTCCAACTGGGGCAATAGATAGCAAGATCCTGTATCTAAAAAAGCAAGAAAGAAAAAGAAAAATTAATGTTGACGGCTCTAGAGAAGCAGGAACCAAGAAATGTTGAGGTTTCAAGACTATTTTTCTGCAGGTGACAGCCAGAAATGTGCTGTGTTTTTTATCGTCAGATTTGGACAAGAAACAGTGAAGAGATCGTTTGAGAAGAATCTGAGGACTACAAAATTAATTTCTGAGGAAAAAAAAAGAAAAAAGGAAATAAAGGTAGTTTGATATGATGGGATTCTCAGGAGGAAAGAAAAGTTTAGGGAGGTAGGCCCAATTCAGTAGATACTTAAATAACAAAAGGAAGACTGAATTAAACACAAACCAAAAGAAAATCTTCCCTCCCTTCCTTCCTTCCTTGTTTCCTTCCTTCCTCCCTTTTTTCCTTCCTTCCTCCCTCCCTCCCTCCCTTCTTTGTTTCCTTCCTTCCTCCCTTCCTTCCTTGTTTCCTCCCTTCCTCTCTCCCTCCCTTCCTTCCTTTCTCTCTTTCTTTTTTCAGGGTCTTGCTCTGTTGCCCAGGCTGGAGGGCAATGGTGTGATGGCTCATTGTAACCTTAACCTCCTGGGCTCAAGCAATCCTCCTGCCTTAGCCTCCCAAGCAGCTGGGACCACAGGTACATACCACCACACCACACCCTGCTAATTTTTAAAAAAATTATTTTTATTTTTTGTAGAGATGAGGTCTTGCTATGTTACCCAGGCTGGTCTTAAACTCGTTGCCTCAAGCAATCCATCCACCTTGGCCTCCCAAAGTGCTCAGATTACAGGTGTGAGCCACCATCCCTCGCCAGAATAATTTTTCTTTAGGAAAGATTTAGTAAGTATCTAGGTAACCGAGAACATGATGACATAAATTGATTAGAAAGCAATTCATTGAGTTCCAAATGGCTAAGAAGAGTGTTTAATGGTCTTATATAAGATCCTGTACTCATATTTCAGGAAATCTGTTTTTTTTTCTTTTCAGGCAAAAATTGACTCCTCCTACCAAAATGAATTTAAAATACCTTCTGTTCTCCAAAGTCAAGAATGTTGATCTTAATAGAACTGCCAGACAGGGTGTTCCAATTAGGCCTAGAACCAATGCACCATAGAACCACAGCCAGCTAAGGTATATTACAAAGAACATAAGCTTTCCATAGAAAACAGTTGAGAAAGGTTCAGCATTCAATGGATGTTCTTTGTACTTGACTGTATAAATTAGATTCTAAAATGTGTTAACACAAACCCTGAACTAGGAAGCAAACATCCCAGGACACAAAATTGAGGACAAAGGAAAATATTCTACGCCAGCATAGATTATTTCCTAAGTAAAAATGAATGCCAGTTTCTTCAGGAGGAGTATGTGGGGACTCACAACCAGTGTATGCATGTTCCATAGTTGTCTTTAGGTTTGTGAGGCAAACTATACATACTTCACATTGAGTATACTAGGTTTAGTCATTCTTAGCAAATTCTTTTGCCATTGTTATAAAGTCCCTGTATAAATAAGAATTAACATATTCCTTCAGGTGGTTGGTGTCTGGAGTAGACTTTACCTGAGCATTATAATTAAGAATCTGGCATCCAGAATCTTATATAAGATTGTATTAATGAAACATGCAACATATTTTATCTTCAAAAAGATTATTTAAAGGAACTTTTAGAAGCCACTGGCAGATATCTTTAAAAGATATTTAAATGTCAGAAGTCA